CCTTTGATGCTGGAGGACATCTATTTTGTTAAGTTTCCTCCTAGTGTTTCTAACTCACCAACTTAAAAAACACTACATGTTTCAACTTTACCTAAATTTGGTAAGCTCCTCCATGCTTTCTCATTTAATTCGGGAGTTACATCATTCCTTCTCCCAGAATCTAATTCTCAAATCCCACCCATCTTTCAAGACACAGATCAAATGCCACCTCTCCGGGGAAGTCTTTCCTGCTCTCCCTCGCACTTCTTTGATATTTAGCTGCACTTTCCTTATGGCACCTCTTGCTTATTTAGGGAGCATCCAAGCGCCGGAGCAGCCAGTAGGTTCCCCCTGGACGGAGAGTGACACATTTCATCTAATTCATCCACAACCTCTAGCCCTCGTGGGAATCCGGACAAGCGCGATAAACACTGTTGGACCACTCAACCAACAGTTCTTCCTGGAAACCCAGGGCACAACTGCCTCAGCCGCCCTTTCCCAGTTGTGAAAAAAGGCACTGGCATAACCACTGAGCATAAGAGTCGTCCCAAGGTCCGAGGGCGGCCGGGAACTGCTCAGAGGCTGGAAAACGACAGGTCTAACTCCGAGGATGATACCCTCCAGTACACGCAAAGAAGCGATGGAAAAAAGCTCCCACCCTCTGCCGGCTGCACCCTGACTTTCGCCTCGCCCTCCGATTGGCTGCTCCTCCCACCAGCCTCGAGGCGGTGGCCCACGTGACCCTCAGGCCGCAGCGGGATTGGTGGCCCGCGAAGGCCGCGGTGGGCGGTGGGAGCTCGCGGGGTCGCGAGACGGAAGCTGGTCGGAAGCGGGAAGTAGGTCGTGTCCGGGATCGAATGGCCGAGAATCGGCTGCCATCAGCGTCCGCAGGCCAGGGCAAGCCTCCTGAGAGTCTAGGGCGTAGGCGTTTTAGGGGTTCGGAAAGCGGGCTCAGGACGCCTGCCTGGGTCTTTGTGTGTGTGAGCCCTGGCTCCGGTCTTGCTGGTGTTTCCCCGCAAGGACGGCTTCTCTGTCGTCCCTAAAATTAGTGGGATGTGGACCTTATTCTTATTTTTGAGGGTCTACTGTGTATAAGCATTGGGTTGCCCTGCGCAGGGCGCCGTGCAGAGCGCCATGAGGTAGAAGCTGGGGGAAGGAAGGCTTAGAGATGCTTGAGGGATGGTCCTTACCTACGTGAGATGTTGGAGGTAAGTCGGCTTTGTAAATTGTGCTGATGCTTTTATAGGCTAGGAGCTTAGGGTTTAGTAGGGAGGGTCGTGCAGTGACTGAATTAAACCCCAATTTCTTGAGCCTCTTTCTGTATACCAGGCACCTTTCCGGGTGTAATGATAAGACACAGTCCTGGTTCTTTAGGAATAGGGAAGGCACTCCAGATGGAGCAAAGTGTACCGAGGAAGAGAAGCAGGAAAAGTGTGCTTGCTGTGTATGGCTGGAGCTCTGCTCACACGTTTCATGATTTTAGAGAAATTTATTTATGTTCTCTCAGCCTGTTTCCTCATTTTAACGTGTACTTATTTTACCTGTAGACGATGATGAGCTAAATAAAGGCTCAAGCATCGCCCCTGTAAAACAGGCACTTTGTTAGTTTCCCTCTTTTTATGGCGTTTACTTGCTGAATGACAGACCAACAGCTGTGAGTTTTTAACTATGGAGTATGACTCTATTGACGTTTATAGATGGCTGAAGGAAGCATGTGGTGTCTCCAGAATTGTTATTTAGATCCTGACAAACACCGTGCTGAAAGGCTGGAGAGGCTGACACTGTGTTCCTAGTGCTTTTTCATGTCAGCCATACATAGTATACCACCAGAAAGTGTAATTTAGAATAAATGAAATGCAGTCTGCTTTCTCATTCAGAAATTGATTATTCAGGTTGTGAATTACCCAGGCTTTTAATTGCTTCCATTATCTTGCTCATGAGCTGGAGAAAAATGAAATTAAACCTTATATTTAGCTGGTAGTGGAAAAATATAAATCTGGTAATCAGACCTCGGTTCACTTTCCAGCTCTGCTGTTAATTTGCTGTGGACCTTTGGCAAATCATAGCCTCGCTGGGTCTTGGACTCAGAAGATTCTGGTATAAAAACTGTGACTATACTTTGACAGCAGAATTATAAATCAAATTATATATTAAATGAACTGGAGTTTACTTTATAAAGGAATTTAGTAGAAAATCATTTCTAAAGCTTTTTGCTTTAGAACTAGATGATAAATGCCTTCCCAGGCATCCCTGAGATTTTATCATGCATGGTGTTTGGGCTCATTAAAAAAAAGTTTTTGAACTGTAAATGCTTATCTGAGCTGCTCTGCTCCTAGTGTTTCAAAAACAAAAGAGCCTCCCCCCAAAAAAAACTTATTCAAATTTGCATTTTTTTACAGCAGAGTTGCTTAAAGCAAAACATTGTGGAAGATAAACTATTGAAAGCCCATGGTTAAAGCTTCTGAAAAGAAACCTTTATTGTTTTCATAGGTAAACCTAAATTTCTTTGGATGTGAAAATAGCATGTGACAATGCTCTTAGATAATGCAAGGAGGTGAAATGCAATGATGAGTGAAGTCAAGTCTGACCTGGTATTGCCAGTGCTTCAGTGTTGGCTTTGACCAGGGTGTGATCACTTAATCTTCTCTCTGAGCTGATCCTGATTGTGTTTTTTCCACACTGGTATGTTCTAGGCTATTTGGATACTGGTTTTATTATGTATAAGAGTGCTTCTTTGATGTTCTTTTGAATTTTACTGATACTTTCATGTTTTCCTTCTTAGGTAGAGGTGAAAAATCTGGCTTTGATATCTTCAAGGAGTACTACGTTATTTCAATCCTGAATCTGGTTCAGTTCCCTTGTTGACTTGTTACTATATTAAAAATGTTTAATGAATTATGGTATTTGTTGGTAAAACCTTGCTGTTTAACAAGAATTTTTGCAAATATCCATTATACTCTTATCGTACACAAAGTTAATATTTTAAAAATCCATAAGGATACTCCATTTCAGAATTTAGTTTTATTACGTTTGTGCTATCAGAGAATGTGCTTTGAACTGCTAACATGAGTTAAAATATTGGGAAACACCTATGTCAGCAGAGGCACTTAAAATTATTTTCATCTTTCCTCTTCTAGTCATGACTTTTTTTTTTAAACCCATATTTTTTCACCAGCCTGCCAAATCCAGTGGCATGAGTTTTTCTACATAGGCAACTTAAGCGTTTCTGTAGTATTTCTAATACAAAGTTTTTCACACAAGGCTGAATTCTTGCTGTTGAAGTATAGGATTTTTATCCCCCAAGTATTGGATTAGCAAAAAGAAAAGCAAAATGATGGGGGGAGGGGGGTTGTCACTTTGTGAGGGGTGAAAAGGATAACTATTGCATTGTTTTGTACACCTGAAACTAATAATAAATAATAATAAAGCAAAATGTTAATACAAAAATACTCCAAAAAGTCAAAAGTGGTCTGAGTGAAAAATCTACTTTAAACACCTCAAGTAATCTTTACGTTTCCACGTAAGCATGACAACATGGAACAGTTCTTTGCCAAAAACATTTATTTTTAAAATTTGTTTCATAGAAACTTTAGTAATAGAATAAATCATGCCAGTTTAGCAAACTCTTAACAGCAAGCAGAAAGAGCTGATTAAAAGAGCTTTTCTTTACACAGTGAAATCTTTAGACTATATATAGACACTCAATCCCTATTTTCCTTTAGTTTCCCAAGAAAGACACGTATGGCTCAAAGGAATCTTTAAAAGTTGATAAACTACAGCAGATATTACGTAACAAATGGGTCACAGTATATGGAAGTTGTTATTCGAAAGTGTTTCTATAAAGAGGAAGCCCACTTTTCACATTGTTTGCAAACATAAAACCTCTTCCTCACAGGCAGATAAACTTTCCTCATGAAGAAAAGGTCTACTTCCCCTTCACCACCCACTTTCTGAGGTCTAACTTGGGTTTTTCCGGAGAGCTTCCACACCCCTTTGTTCTTTAAGGAAAAGCTTCTGTACTAGTTATCCTTTTATCCACTTCTGTGACACTGACCCTCACGTTCCCTGCCAATCCCTATTCCTCTCACTCTAACCAGCTAGGTCAACTATTAAATAGGGGTCTAGAGAGCAGGCTAGATGGTTAAGATCAATGGGTACATCCTTTTACAGAAATATATAGTTGTTTAAAATTCACATAATTATGAATCAAGGCTGAGAAGTATCAAACCTATGTACCATGCTAAAAACCAGCCCTGTGGCCTTATAGTGCAGTGATTTTGTTTCGAGGTAAGATGCTATTCCCTTTCAGTTCTCAGGGGAGTACAATTTAATTAGATGTTGCACTTCTGTTGGATAACCTGTGATGGGACAAGCTTGGTGACTCCTCACATAATTAAACACACAGCGATAACAAAACACATAGCCAGAGGTGGCAAGAACGGTATCATTCACTCGGGTTTTACGACACAGCGGGCACACAGTCTTCATTTTGGGTAACAGAGGAGAATCAGAATTGTAGTCTAGGTGTACAGGTGGTGGCGGAGTAGGCAGGGCAGTCAGTGATTTGATGTTTTCTTGATTTTCAGATGAGTACCACCACTCAAGGAACTGCAGGAAGAACACACCCACAGAAAGGCCAGTAGATAGGGATAAGGCAACACCTCCTACAGCTTTTTTCAGAGTTGACTTTATCTTCTCACTAACACTGTTGGGAGAATAGAATAAGGAAGCAAAAAGAAAAACTTTAGGTATAATCACAGAGTGACTAATATAAATGTAGTTAAATTTTTCATCAGCATCACCAATTGAGTTTGGGATTGAATAGATGCTAGACTGGCAGTGTCTCCTTAAGGCTATATTCTAACAATTCCCTCTTTCTGACTTACAGTATTTTAGGAGCATAGGAGCTAAGCTTTGGTTTTTTTTGTTTGTTT